GGGCGATAAGAGGAAGGCTGCCAGGATATATCGAACATGGCACAGTAGACTTCGACCAATCCCATCCACAATAATCAGAAAATACTATAAGCTGGATCAGACAGGAAGCTTCACAAAAAAACGGAAGAAACTTCGGGCTTTAAGCAAAGTCCTCGGCACAGACATTTTGGCTTACATAGCAGCTTATCGTTACGCTGGCGTGCGTAATGTGAGCGCTGATGTAGCGGTACTAAGATCGTCCGTCTGGAGGATTTTGAACGAATCTAAGCTTCACCTTGTGGAAGCCGAGAGTGAAGGACGAGGCAGAGGGCACGTGACAGGCGGTCGGCGGAGAAGTCACGAGCTGGCGCGAGACAGTGCGTGCTGAGCGAGGCTGGTAGCTGGACAAGAACGTCGAAGCCAAGCTGCCTGGCCTGGCCCATGCGAACCCCGGAGCGGTCCACCAGCGAGGTCTGGAGCAAGACCGGTGGAAACGGCGAGCCTTGGCCCTATGACCTGGGCTACGACGATCCCGGGGTGGTTCCGTAGCGAGACTCGGACATTGATACCCCGGGACAGCCAGTTTACGCAGCGCTGGCATGGGAAGGACGATCCGCAGGCCTGGACGACACGGACCCCAACTGTGACCTCTGATCGACGGGCGACAACAAGGGTCGGCGGGCCCGGACTACCGGCTCTCGACGACGGGCAACCGGTAGGTACAGTAAACTCATTCACTGTCTCCTCGTTGCAGTGTGTAGCTCCCAGGGTGACGGGCGGAGCGCATACCGATCGGGCGGCGATTATTAGTAAAGGGATCTCCATAAAGAACCCCACAGCCTTTGCCACATTCAGCTGCATCAAAGGTTGCAGGCTAGTAACTCCGAAATCAGAGTTAACTTCGCTTACAGGATTTCTATCCAATCTTAAAAAGAACCAGACCTTTTCAACAACGTGCTGTGAACAAATGATGCAGACTTTTTACGAAACAAACAAGTAAACCTTTACAACGCCCATTACTGAGGCGAGAAAAATCCCCACTGGCTGGCGTAGTCCCTACATCAGTACCAGTGGTCCCTTAATGTCCGGTGTGGGATCTTTCAGAACAGCATCGCTTGTCCCGTCTTTTTTGACCTGACGCTAACTGGAAAACGCTCTGTGAACGAGATCGTTGCAGGTGCAGCGGATGATTTTCGCTGTAGTCTGCCATTGGCACGCCTTCTACACATGCTGTTTCAGCACGACGGTGCCCCCGCTCACAGCTGTAGCCAGCCTCGAGCCTGGCTCAGCGGAGCCTTGCAAGAACAGTGTGTCGGGCAGTACGGGACCGTGCCATGGCCTGCTAGGTCACCACCGGAGATGACCCCCCTGATGTATTCTAGTAGGGGGACGTGAAAGCCCCGTCTAAAACAGCAAGAAGAGCCCACAACCCCAAGCGTATTGAAGGTAAAAATTACGCGAATTTGCCGCATTATTCCAGCGTGTATAATACGGAGTGGAAGAGCGGACGCGTTCGAAAAGATGAGTGCTGAACCGCTTCAGGTGGGGACCTGTTTGGGCGCATTCTGTAGGCAGCCAACACTGTTTTAAAAAAGCGGCTTTGTACCAATGTCAGTTTAACGCGGTCTTGATGCCATTATTTTGACTAAATCTCCCCGTGAGAAGGATGTCAACATCAAGGACGGCGCTGCTTTTTTGTCTTTTTTATGAAGGCGAAAGCCTTATTGTCTCATCCTTCAGTCGACCTTCAAAGGCTTCAAGCGAAAACACGTCGACGACACGAAAACGACGATACGCGCCAAAACTGCGTCAAAAGTACGTCGTCAAACAGAGCGTTGTCTTTGGAGGTTCGCTCTCACGTTTACATCGGCGCTTGGGCTTACGCCTTCGAGTCGTCTTAGGAAGAACATAAGAGTCCCTGTGACTTTTTTCGGTAAGACACGTTGCACCTCTTATGGGTTTTTGTTTCAGACACACTTTTTTTTGTTTTTGTTTACTACTTTATCTTTTTATGAGCAAATAAAATCACCATTCTCTTCCATTTTCTCCAGCCAACACGTGATCACGGGGAGAACTCGGGCACACTCACTTTCTACCCTTTCCACGATGCGGCAGAAATTTACACCTTGGCTCTTAAATGAATAATTATAAACTAGCTAAATATTCCTAATTAAGTAAAAGTTTGGTGCCATTTATAGGGGACACTTCGTATATACTCCGCAATTTAAAAGAAGGACGACAAAAACGTTTGTTATGCGAAATAGAACACCGTTCCATATATGTCGTGTGTGCAGTCGGTGTGGTTTACACAGTTCAAGTATCCTGTGAAAATATTTATATCGACGCTTTCCAGCAGCTGTGCATGGCGCCGCCATAACCGACCTTTTGCGTTTGCTTCTACTTTTTTGTGTTCACTTCCTCCAGGAATAATTCATCGATTGACCACAGCAGGAAAGATTATTGCCATGTTCGTTTCTCCTTTGTTCGTCTCCCTAGCATTGACCTTTGTGGAGGCCAATCAACTCCCGCGTCAATGGCTAGGCATCTCGGTAAGACAAGAGAAGGTCACACATGGCGGATGTGTAAACGGATGTGTAAAGCGCCAAACGGGCAGATGTGTAAACACTCAGGCTCATAAGCACTCTCTTTCGTTACGGAGCGCTGCATCGGGACCATCTCGGGTTACATTCTTAAGAATATGGCTCTACTCCGCAGTTATGTTCAAATACTGTCTAAACACCACAGAAATACGGCTAGAGTAATTTAGGTTGCTTGTTGAACCTGTCTTTTGTGTTTCGTGCAGAATTCTGGACGTGAAGTTTGTGTAGGCGTCGAATCAATTAACCCTTTTGGTGTTGCATTATATCTTATTAATCGGACTGACCCATTTATGTGGCCATGACTGTGATATAAAAAGGCCCTGTACGCTTTTTTTTAAACCGTTTCCTTCTTTTTTGTGTCAATCTATTTTGCTATAAAAGAAAACGGCACGGTCGTTAGTCACTGCTATAATTGTTTTTCGTCTTCTCGTCCTTGTGTTCATTTTTGCTCTGTTTTTATTTCTTCGATCATGCACCGATTCGCCCATCTTCGCCCCATCTAAGCTCCTTATAGATATATACGCTCGTGTTAAAATAAAACTTCCTGTATATCATGCGTGGAAAATTATAATTGGTGAAAACCTACAGATTGCGCTAATAGTATGCAAGAACGCAGCTCGCGACAGCGATAAGGCATCTCTCCTGGACGAAAATATTTATGTGTTACTTAAGCTTTGACCACCAACCCTACATGAGTGTCAGGCTGGCGTCTCTATCTAGCTAACACAAAATAGCATCAGATTTATAAAAAAATCTTGTATATTGCTTCTTTACCTTAGTAGCCGAATCGATTAAAAAGATTGAGTAAACTGAATTTTGTTTTTCAGGAACGATATGCACATGAAAACGAACATCTCAAAAATGCTCAAAGAGAGGACCAGGAATCAATGAGAAATTAAAATATTGACTAAAGTATTCTGCCATACTTGGGTTAAGGCTTCAAAAGACACAGAGGGGACTATTCTTAGATAAGTATAATGTCATAATATGAATAAACCTGAAAACTCCCAGATTCAAATTCCAGCTGGTTTAATCATGACATCTTGAGTGAACAATATGTCATAAAGTTATCTGTAAAGTACACAATTAGCCAGCTATTTCATGATCTTGCCGTGTGCTGACCAGCGGAACATTCCAGCACAGACCCAGTACTAGTTTCTAGGGAAAGAAAATGTGCACGGTAGCTTTACTTAGTTTTACTAGATTTGCAATTTATGATGTTGGTTAAGCTTGTTGACTCTTATCAGTCTCCATAATATCCGTAATATCACATAAAGGCTTAGCGTGTAATAAACAACACTTATTTTGTGATATCTATATGCGGCAAACAATGCAAAAAAAAACTCTATATTATTTAAAAATTACTGAATGGTAACAAATTGTTAGTGTACTTCCATAAATGAAATAAAAACATACACTTTTGGAAAATACGAAGTTCAGAGTGCCTCAATATAGAATATTATTGACGCTCTAACTACGGTAGTGACCAATGGTGTTTTATTTTGCCGTTATTAAAAACCGAGCTTACTTAACATTATTGAACATCACTAACAGCTCTTCGATAGCGTAACCGTAGACCTGAATCGTCTACGCCATCCACCAAAAGCAGTCGTAGTGCACAGATGAAACCGATAATGGAACACGGGTATCAGCTGAACGCCGACGCAACCGTTCTGCCCAACCCGTTTTACGCCCGCCCAGAGTAAGTGATGAGGAAAAATCAGTACGACAACCTTTTTATATGGAGGTGTGGACGTCATCTCATATTGACTTCTCGACTTCATTGATTGGACTGTCGAAAGTTCTTTTTCGGTTTTGTCAATACTAGAAAAATGGTACTCTTGTCTTCCAACAGATACTAAACAGCTTCGGTTTTAATTTTTTTCCCTCATTTGTTCATTATAGTCCAACATGCTAGCTAGCACGAAAGGGTCTGTTCACAAAGCGTCCTGTGACTATGTTTGATTAAGTTACGTACGTCAACGCCTAGCTAAAGTTATGCGTTGACGAATATTTGCGGGTGGTATGCTGTGCGACAAGTTACACCTTGGATAGGTTGAAAAGCCTCATAGAAATCACGATTGTCTCGGTAACAAGCATTCGTGTCCTTATGTAAGTATCCGCCTTATTACGATTTCGAAGCTCAGATTACTGAAAATGTCATGCACGATCTAAAAAGACTCCAAAAGCTGTCAGTATAAAAATTTTAGAACATGCTGTCTTAGCGTATAATATTTTGTATTCAGTTCCAAAAACATATTTGGGGCACAAAGCGTAATGGTGGTTCTGTGTAATTGCCGTGACAAATACAGAATCGTGTATATGCACTAGTATATAAAATATCAACTAAACTTACAACAGTTCCAAATTAAGTGGTTTGTCAGAAAGAAACCAATGAATTGTACTCAATAATATACATACCTCCCGCAGTGGCATTTTGAATTAAAGCCGACAAAGCGCATAGAAACATATACCGCATCATTTTCTTCTCTACAAGGTGTTAGCTGTTTTACCATGAGCTTTTATAGAAAATGTACATCCTGGTAGTTCAATAGATTGACCTCCTGTATTGACATTTTTATTTTCTGGTGCTAAAGGGCATAAAAAAATTAAGTAAAAATTCTAAAAGAGCAGATAGCGTGTTATTTAATGGTCAACGGGCAATTCTGGCGTTCTTGAAAGTTATTTTTGCAATAGATTTGGATTTAGTTGACGCACTACGAGATATTTGCTTTAGGATATTTGTGTCTGTAGTGTGGTTTCATTTGAAATCGAGCATGCGTGTCAAATGGGTATTTTGATTATCTCAAAAATATACACTTAGCCCCCCATCTCGCTAATTAACAAAAGAACTCCGTTTTTTTTTTGTTTTTTTTTTAATTTCTCCACAAAAAAATTTGGACTGGAGCTAGTTAAAACGCTACGTTTAGGCTGTCATTTTTACTCAGATCTGGCAGTTCTGATAAGAGGGTAAAAGGAAATCACTCACAGTAATTAATCTTGTTATTATAAGTCGCATAAAATATTTTTTTTTCGATTGAAAAAACCGCTTAAACGTATTTCATGCAAAAAATTAAAAAAAAACAGAAAAACATCGCATCTTTGATATTTTGGTGCCAAATCTGGAGCCCTGAATCTTCCCCAAGCAGCACAATTCACCGGCTCAGGCTTGAGCCTGCTTGGGCAGCCGGGGAAAGTTTCCCTGGCCCAAGCACCGTTTTGCTTCAAGGGGCAAGCTAGCCCCAGCCTGGCTAGCCAGCCCGGCAGTTCAGTGGGGGTTCCTTGTAGAGCCAAGCTTGGCTAAACGGTGTAAAACAAGCCTGGGCCAGGCTTGCAGTTCAGTGGTCATCCAAGCTTGGCAAAACGGTCTAAATGCATCCTGGGCCACACTGGCAGTTCAGCGGTCAGTCGAGCTTGGCAAAACGGTGTAAATGCCGTGTGGGCCTGGGTGGGAGTTCTCTGGTCATTCAGTCTTGGCTATACGGGGAATTTACAGACTTCTCCCAAGGAAGTCTATGTTGTCATTCAAAGGATGTTTTTGTGGCATATGATATAGTCAAACATCTCCAATTTTTGGTGCTGTGTGCAGAAAAGACTGGTTGCTACCTTGCTCCGGATTTAGTGACCCACGATTAATGCAGCTGCTCCAGTAATTTTCTCAGAATACTTAAACAATAAAATGAAAGTTGAAAACACGTGCGAGTTGCTGTATTTATTGTGCTGTTGGAATGCAAATGAAGCTGCAAAATCAAGTCAAGTTTTATACAGTGTTTTTTTTTTTTTTTTATTTCATGTTCAGTACATGGTGCTAGCTAATGCCCGAGTCCCACTACAGCGACAAACAGAAACAATTGACGACAAGTCTCAAACCTGAGTCTTTCGCGATTTGACAGGCTATGTAGAATAAAGGAGGCTATGCTTAAACACAAGCATCATGCACGCGAGGGTATCTTTGGCAGGCTTAGAATCACTCATGCTTATCTCACGAGCACCAAACGAATAAACGCCTGCCAAAAGTACCATCACGGGCATGCTGAATGGGTTGGAGACTTGTAGCTGTCGTTTGTTTCTGTTTGTCGCTCTCGTGTCCCACTAGAGCGACAACGGCTGGTTGCTGGTCGAGTATCTGCTGCCTGGTAACTGGGCTTCACAGCTAGTAGGTGGCTCTGCCGATTCGAGTACTAATGACAGCAGTTGTAATAGTTCACCCCATGGCCACTTTATGGCTGCGACGTAGGGCTGGATAGCAGCACCTGGAGAAGGAACAAGATAACCAGTGATGCATGTTTAGTAAATATGCTTTACATGAACTATAAATCATGCTCCTAATTAAATTATAACACAGCAGAAAGGCCACCTAAAAGGTCTTGGTGGTATGTTCAGTCTCCTTTAATATGAAAGACGTGCTAAAAGCGCGTGGCCGAGATGACCGTGGTCGGGGGCGCTATCTGCGCTTCACGAGATTTGTTCTGCCTCGAGGAAAGGACGCTCACCCGGGGCTGAACTGGTCCTGAACTTGCTAACCGTTTTTGGTTTAGGTTTAGACTAAGAGTGTGCTTTATCGGCATTGCGCCCAGAGATATGATCATGGAGGCTCGAAGTAAGCATGCTCATTATGGTTTTCGTTATCAGTTGTTTCTGGTGTAAAATTTGAAAACAGGCACAAATATTGATGTTACACCCAGAGTGTCGAACCGAAATTTTTATCGGTTCGGTTCCGGTTCGGGTTCACGAATTTCGGTTCAGCTCCGGTTCAGTTCCGAGGACCAAAACTTTACGGTTCGAACCGGTTTCAACCGGTTCGAACCGCTAAACTGTGAATATGTTTTCCGTGTTTCTTTCGCTATAGGCACTTTTCAGGAGTGAAACAAGGAACTATTTACCTTCTTTTTTTCACTTGTTGAATCCACTTTTATTTTCAGGTACCAAAAATAAATTGCGTTGTTTCATTTGGATGAAACAGTAAATCAAAAGCTAGATAAACATATATGACCGAACATCTATTTCTTTTTACCTCAGTCGCATATATTTTACCTGAATTTAAAGGTTATCAGTCTGGTGTGTCGCCTAAAATGCATATGATTAGTACACCATTGCGTCGCAATATTAAAAGTCGAGTCCTACTGTGCTCTTGTACTTAAAAAATAATTACAGTGTATACAATCGTAAAATGGGCACCCGTTCTCACCATATATATCCTGAAATCTAGATTATAAAATACGTTTCACAATATATATGATGACGATACAACTAAGCTAAAAGCAATAATATTTTCAAAATGTCAGAAAAGCTTTAGCACAAACCCTTTCAGTCTACCTTTTATAGAACACTAAGTGGCAAACGCAACGCTTGTTTTCCTGACTAATATTGTTTTCATTCAGCACCATGACGCAGGCGAATAATTATGCAGAAAAGAGTGACTTTCGTATTCAGCACGGATCTGGCCTCAAATAGAGCGCATTGAAGTGCATATTTTCGACATGGCTTGGCGTTTGATGTTTATTCTTGAAAAAGATGCCGGTTCAATTCACTTTGTAGATAAGCACCACCTTTGCTAATTGGTGATTTGTTGTTAAAGAGAAGAAAGTAGTATTTCATAGTCTACTCGACATTACAGCTGCTTAATTAATCACTTTCTAACGGTCTGCGTGCGCAATCGTCATAGTTCCGCCACGCGCCACTGTGTGCTTTGTTTTCATCCAGCCCACAGACACATGAAATCGTTGTTTATCAAATAAAAGACGCAACAGACTTCTATATGTTTGAGAAGTTGAATACTCGTCAGGAACACGTGTCATTTATTCATTTTTTTTCTTTATTCATAAGTTACCCCGCATTGCCCGAAGGCGTTACTGCAGGGGGGTTACAAACGTGAAAAAAACAATTCTTCAGTTGCAGAGCACACTTGTTCCTCCGACAGCTTGTTCCATTGTTGGATGGTCTTGACAAAAAAAGAATTAGCGTACATGTTTGTTCTGGCACGGTATTCTCGTATTTTAAAACAGTGATCGGTCCGGCTTGAAATATAGTGCGGTTGCTTTAGGTAATCGTCTTTGTTAATGCCCAGTCGACCATTAAATATTGAAAACAAAAATTTCAGTTTTAATTTGTTCCGTCGGGCTGAGAGTGATTCCCAATTTAATTCTCTTTTCATGTCAGTACAACTATCCTTTTGCCCATATCGTCCCAGAACAAACCTCGCTGCCCTATTTTGAATTTTTTCTAGTTTTTCAATTAGATACTTCTGCGCAGGGTCCCATACAACACATGCATATTCTAGAATTGGTCTAACACATGTCAGATATGCCGTTTTCTTCAAGTTTGTTTCGGAACATTTTAAATTTCGCTGAATGAAGTTTAATGCCCTGACGGCCCTTAAGACTACATCATCGACTTGGGCGTTCCATGAACAGTCATTCGATAATATAACACCCAGATATTTTTACGTACATTCTGTTTTGATGAAGTGATTATTTATACTGTACTGATTATCGATTTTTTTCTTACTCCTAGTAAAACTTAAATGGACACACTTTTTTGGATTCAAATTCATCTTCCATTTACAACACCAGTTTTCAACACGTACCAGGTCACTCTGTAATTGTTCTGCGTCATGCTCACTCGTAATGCTTCTATATAAAACACAATCGTCAGCAAACAGTCGAATACGGGATGTTATTTGGCTAGAAATGTCGTTAATATAAATTAAAAACAAAAGGGGTCCCAAGACGGAGCCCTGGGGGACTCCAGATGTAACATCAACGTAATCAGACTACTTGCCGTTCAAAACCACACATTGACGCCGCTGGGACAAATAGCTTTCAATCCACCTAAAAACAGTTGAATCTAAATTAAATATCTTAAGTTTCTGGAGAAGAAGCGAGTGTGAAACCGTGTCAAATGCTTTACGGAAGTCTAAGAAAATACAATCTGTTTGTCTGTGCTCATCAATACCAGATACTAATTCGTGAAAAAATTCCGCAAGCTGTGTTGTACAAGACAATCCCTTACAAAAACCGTGTTGCTCACTGATAATCAAATTGTTTGCGTTTAAGTGAGACACTATCTGTGAATAAAAAACGTTTTCAATAATCTTACATAAAATAGACGTCTATGAAATAGGTCTGTAATTAGAGACATCCTTCTTCGGACCGCCTTTGTGGATAGGTACAACGTGAGCAACTTTCCAGTCATCTGGTAGAACGCTCGTAGCCAGCGACTGGGTATAAATTAAGTATAGATAGGGCGAGATTGCCTGAGCGCACCTTTTTCAAACGCGTGGTGAGATGCCATCGGGACCACTGGCTTTGGTTTCATCGATGTTCTGCAATAAGGTTTCAATGCCACTTACACTAAATTCGACTGGTGGCATTTCGGGAACACCGCTAGTGTATGAAATACTTTGGTAACTGCATTTAGCCAAAAAAACGGACTGAAAGTAATTATTTAAACACGTGGCTTTCTCTGCATCATCTGAAATTA